GGCTGGTGTTGATGGAGGGGAGTGAGAGCCTACAGAGCAGTAGTGAGGCGGCGTCAGAGCAGAACATGGGGGCCCACTGTGCATTACAAGGGTCACTGCAAGGAATTGGCTTGCAGTGAGATGGGGAGCCCAGGAAGGGTACTGAGCAGGCAGTCACATGACCTGACGTGCTTTAACAGGATGACTCAGAATGCTTTGTTGAGCGTGAGCTCAATGGTAGAAGCCGAGAAACCAGTATTAAGGCTGTTGCAATAATCCAGGTAAGAGATACTCAACTGCTTAGACCAAGGTAGCAACATTCTTTAATATATTAAAATATAGAAAATACAGAAAATAGGAGAGAGACAGAAATGTCTTCTCCCAGTATATGTGTCCCTTGCTGCTAATATTGTGTAGAAGCCAGAAATTGAAAGAGCAATGGGCTTCTTCATTCTCATTTCTCTCATCTCCTACCAGTCTTAATTATGTATTATTAAAGTTAATTCTTGAGCTGCGAGGTAATGGTCTATGAACCTGTATCTTTCTTTTCCCTCTGGTTTGCAGAGCTCTTTGTCAATCGACACACTTCATGCAAGCAAGGAGAAATGTGAGGAACTCAGTGTGATATCTTGTTTCAGGTTAAAGTTATCAAATTAAAAATAAATGGGAAATGATCATGTTTTCCTTTTTTGGTTTTAATAACCAGAGCTTAATCCAAGAAACCTGCCTGCTTAGATATTTTTGTTCAATGATCATCTGTTGTTATCCCTATTGAAAGATGTAGCTATGGATGGCTGGGTAGGCTCTGGAGGGATAAAATGAAGAAGGGAGCAGAGGGTGAATGTGAATGGAGGGGAGAAAAGGAGGACAATGGGGAGTAAAAGATACACAGATGGGAGCTCTTGTGACCCTGGAGAAATGCACAAAAGAGGAAAGAAAGAGCTAGTGCTTTTCCAGCCACATTTGTGGACTCCGCCAGACTCCGCCAGGCTTGCAGCTGTCCTTTTTTGTCCAGAGAGTTCTTGACTGACCCAGGGTTCGGACAGCAATTCTGGTGCCACCTCTGGGGAGGACCACTGGAAAGACAAAGCTTCCTTGTTTAGAGGCCAGATGCTTGTTGTATAAAGAAAATTCTGCAGGTAAGCACAGTTTATTGAAATTCTACAAACTATAGTGAGACTGATAATGCTACAGCATCTCTCTCTCTCTCTCTCTCTCTCTCTCTCTCTCACACACACACACACACACACATACACACAGAGCCATTCCTTCATTGTTCTATGCTGCATGTCCTCTCTGGCATTCTGGCACAGAATCATCTTCCTTCAACACTAGAGTGATCACCTTAACTCCATTAACTCATCACAATGATATATTCTATGTGATTGTATATGCATTACAATCATTAATGCTATAATTAATATGCAGACATTATTAACTATAACAAATATGGGACGCTGTTGGTCCATTCTTATTTCATGGGTGGGTAATTGAGGCTCGGGGGTATAAGTGATTTGGCCAAGACCACAGAGTGATTCAGAGACAGAAAATAGAACAACACAGAATCGATTCACGAGCCTCTACCTGAAGGAGGTTTTCAGCTTGTAACTTTTCAAGGAGGCAAATTTTCTGAAAAAACATTGCTTAAAATCTCAGATTCATGCGTTTTCTCTAGAGCAAAGCTACTTCTTCCTCTCACTCTCCATCCATCTCTACCACGTTTAGATGTTTTATTTCATTTAAGGATTTTTCAGTTTTTCTCCTTTGCTGAAAAAATGATGTTGAAAAGACACTAAGAAAACTTTTGTCCACCCTCCAAAACAAAAGTCTGACCCATCACAATCCCACCATTATAACAGAAATATTTTCGTTTTTGCATATCTTTTTGTTTTTGTTTTTTTGCCATATAGTGACTTGTTTTTACTTAGTTTAAGTCATAATGAGCAAGCTAGTTTATAGTCTGACAAGTTGACCTACCAGTCAATAATAGGCATTTGTGCATTCTGTATAATCATCATTTCAAGTATTTGTTTCTGAGTGATATGTATTAATTTTGTAATATACGTATATGGAAACTACTGAAGTTGTTGTAAAAAAAATCAACTATAATTCAACCAGCCTCGGAAAAACTAATGCATTTTCCCAGTCTTCACATATATTTATATATACATATA